GAGAGAGAGAGAGAGAGAGAGAGAGAGAGAGAGAGAGAGAGAGAGAGAATTTATTTTTGTTTATTTTAATTGTTTTTAAATTGATGGTAATAAAACAAAAATGAAAAATTAAATAATAAGGGCAAAATCGTCTTTACAAAAAAATTCAAACAAAATTGGACCAAACTTGCAAGAAAATAAAACTTTTGGACCATTTAATGCTAGCCCAAACCGTTTTGGTCCAAACATGCTAGTTTTGACATACCACAGGGACATTTTTGCAATTTTGACTATAGTTTATGTCAAACGGAAGGATGCGTCCAAGTTTGAAAATTTTGAATTCTCAGGTGGCGGGCTTTTGCTACAGAGTTCTCTCTTCCGTCTCCGAGAGATGACCTCTCCGATATGCCAAACCCTAGATGACAACGACCTCGACGACGAAGCTCTGTGGGCCTTAATTGACTCTGCTGCCGCCTTGTCGTCTCTGCCCTCCGCCTCCAAACCTCTCAAACCTCAAAACAATAATAGTAGTCGATTTCATTCTCCCAAAATCACATTTCCGATCATCTCGAAAGTCACCTCTCCATCCCCGTCATCCAGCAACACAAAACCTAGAGGTCACTCAATGACCGACGGAGAGGTATTGCAAGTGGAGAGTTCCATCGACCGACCCCCGAAGAATAAGATCGCCAGGTTTTCTCTCTGTGAAACAACTTCTCCTCCCGCTCCTCTTGTTATGGTGAAGCACGTGCAGCGCACGCCTACCACGCCATCCTCGTATTGTTCGGAGTCTCAGATTCAAAGTCCTGTAGATTGTTCCTCCGATTGCTCGGTGATGACACATAGCTTGTCTGGTCGATTTCCTACAGTTGCTCTCTTCAAAGAATATCAGAATGCTGCTATGGCGGTAGGTACATATTATAATAACCTTCCTCTCGTTTTTGGTTTGTTTTGGTTATTGCTTCATATACATATTCATATAAAAATATTCCATTCGGTTCCAAAACATGAAATAGTTTTTTTTTAGAGTTGATGTAGGGTGAACTAGTTTTCATGTTGGTAACCTGATATACATTCTATAAGAGCTGTGATAACTGAAAAAGTTAATACCTTACATAAAAGTGTAAAAGAGTACTATGATTAGTACCTTTTTTTGCTTCAATTTGTATATGAAAAAATCGTCAAATGTAGTGAAAAGGGTATAATGTCAACCTCAAAAGTAAAAGTGTACATCTTACTCACATTGTTCCACAAGAACAGTAAAGCTTGCAACTTATACAGAAGATCCAACCAAGGAAGTTTTGCAAGGGGTAACTTATTATCACATCTTATCCATCAACAGAAAACAAAAAGCATTTGATGGTAAATCTAGGAAACAAAATAACAAAAGGTAAGAGTGTACATTGTTCCAACCCATTAAAGCCTTGAGTGACAAATGCATCATTCCCACTTTCTTGTTGCACGTGATCCCTAAATTCGTGGTTTGGGGGTTGCAAAAGACTACATTAAATAAAGTAGTAACTTTCCTACTCATGTTGCTTATCACTATTACTTTTAGTGGCATTTAGTGTATTGGTGTATTGTTGTAACAGAAATTGACATCTTTGCAGATTTTAGAGAAGGGCGACTATACTATGATCTCTGGGAACCCTTTCATCAAAAAATCTGGTAAAAATTAATTAGTTTCCACCTCCTAATTTATTTAAGTCCTCATAATGTTGCTAACTCATCTACATGGAAAAAAAACAAAACAGGGTGGAGAAAGATATCGTTTTATTTCAACATATCATATGAAATTAAAGAAAAGAGTATAGAATTTGATGATAATCATAATGTGCAGCGTGCTGAATTCATAGTTCGGGCACACATGCAGTATGTTTCCTTGAGTTTTTGTTTATTAAAATTGAAAAGTTGGTTGCTATTTTTTGTTAATATTGATTATAATGTAGAGGGGGTAGGTTCTCTGATGGATGGGGATCATGTGAAAGACGTGAGAAGAAATTTATGAAACCAAATCATGATGTTCCAAGCACTGCTGAAACCAGGGCAAAAAATAAAGCATGCCAGGTGGATTTCTATTTCTCCTTCTTGCTACTTTCGGGGTCAATTTCGGAATAAAAAAAATAGTTCTATTCTTTTTGTTTGCAGGACCTGCTAGGTATTGGAGAGTATCGTCCTGGTGTTAATAGTCAAAGATAAAAAAAAAAAAAAAACCAAGTTTATATATCATATGTTCAAACCAACTTTAAAAATTGTGGTGAACTGCAAATAATATTGAAAGACTGTTGAGTGATTATAAAAGCAAAGAATTTCATATGTGTATATGCATAATTGCCAATGGTGTCATATTCCCTAAATACCAAACAACACATCACAAAACATGGCCTCACCATAACTTTTCACATTTTGATGAACCTTTGTTGTACATGAACACATTTTCAAAATCTTAAATCTTACTAAAAAAGTGGCATGGGTAGCTAATCTAACCACAAGTCTTTGTGACTCATCAAAACCTCTTTAAGCTACCTAAATTCCAATCTGCTCTTCAAAAAAAAAAAAAAAGATCATTAAATATATTTTTCTCTATTTTGAAGCATTCAGTCTTGGTAATATTTGCGGAGATCTAAGATCTCTTTAATTGCTTTGTGCAAGATGAGATATGTGTTTGAGAGCATCCCTCCTTAAGTACAACGTGGCAGCAATCCTTTGTAGACAATTTCAGAAGTTCAAGAGTGATCCAATAATATCTAAAATTGAACAAAACAAACATAATCAGAAACGATAAAAGCAATCAAGAACAACAAAAACAAAAGACTTGTTATAGCATAGACTTCATAATTGAAAGGCTAGAGAGAAACTTGCTACCTTGTTGATCATATTATCATGTATGCATGGATGTATCTGTGCATATTGACACATGCATAGATGCATGCACATGCAATGATGTATCTGCATATTGACACATGTATCATGTATGCTGTATGTGTGTATCTATGTATGGATATATTTAGTAGCATTTGGCAGTGTTACCTACCTAATTAACAGCTAGTAATACATGCTTTGGTTGAATACTATGTGAATCTGCCATTGGAGGTAAGTTGCTTAAATATTGCATGACTGTTCTACTTTTTACTAAAATGGAAGTGCATATTAAATAAGTGAACTTTAACCATGAGTGAAAGGCGGTGATATTAAAAGGAGATGGAGTGCTTACTTTAATACTCTAAAGCAAGAGTGCACGAAGGGGACAGGGACGTGGAGGACAATAAAGGGCGACGACACATGTTAAATGATTGCTTAAGAATGAGGAAGTGAAGAGGGCATTACAGGGATGGTTAGGGACAAAGTTGTAGGCCCGGACCAAATCCCTATTGGTAGAGGCAGGATTGCAATTGATTGATGAACGTAAACTTAGTTATATGATACCAATTTATAAGAACAAAGGTGGTGTTGTCAAAAGTTGCAACAACTATCAATTTATTAGACATGAAATTATGGGAGAGTGTGTTAGAAGCCAAGTTGCAGTTTGAAACATGCGTCACAAAGAATCGATTCGAATCCATGTCAAGAGCTTGACGATTGTCAGACGCCTTTGAATGCTATATTCTATTGTTCCGAATGCTTGACCGATAAAGAAGGCACATCAGAGAAAGATGGAAGCTCTAAAAATGACGATACACTCTCATGGGCTTGCAGTAAAACTATTTTGGATGGGATACCAAATGTGGTAATCAACAATGGTAAAATTGAGGAAAGGAAGATTGAGGTGGTTTCTGCATGTCCAAAGGATGGCAACCAACAACTTTGGTAAGAGGGTGGACAATGTTATTATGGTATATGGAGCAAGGAGGAAAGGCAAACTTAGGAGGAAGTGGGAGAATCTTATGTTATGTGCATGTTAGTATATATTTACTTATTTATGTCGATTTCTTTTAATCCTAATTCTAGTAAGTTTTCTTTTATTTGATTATCTTCTATTTAGGATGGAGGTATGGTTGTCTACATCTAACATCCCTCTTCCCTCGTTGTAGTGGGAATCAGTGTAGTTATTGTGCACACTATTTATAAAAACGCCACCGTGTTTTTTCAGCCATTGATCTTCACTATACGACGGCCTAGATTGGTTCTCACAAGATCCTATAAATAATATATGGCTCTACACCAAATACATATCATCTAAAAATAGCTGCATAACTTCAACAAAACAAAAACAACAGAGCAAGTTCTTTTAACAGCCATATTTGTAACTTCATTTGCAAATTAAACAGCATAGTAGTCTTGTTGCAAAATAACCATCTGAAATCATCTAAACACTCTCATTTCAACAAAATTTAGTCTTTATTTTGCATTTTACAAGTATTAACAGTTAGTTTGCAACAAAATCACAAGTAAAAGATTGATAGTGAACATGGAGTATTTAGACAAAGTCCTCAAAAGAAACTTACATGTTATGATGCATTCGAACAGGCATTGGTCATAGAGTTGTCTTTCACACCCAAATCTGCAGATCTTGTTTCACTTTTACACAACTCCTCATCAAATCTGAACTCAAGCTGTTTTTCCACTGACTTTGAAGTTGACTTTCGTTTATACCTTAATCGGTAAGGGGGGGATGCATTATATGTCGTATTAACAGTACCTACACCATGTGATTCCGATTCCGATTCCTCCAAATCATTGTTACCTTTCCTTGAATTATCAGCGCTCAAAACCCTTGCCACATCATCACCCTTCGGAATCTTGTGAAACGAAAGAGATGACTGATCTTTTCTCTTTCTTAATATCGAGGGCGTATTTGGAAAACTCTTGGCGGCAATTTTCAAGATTGATTCCGGGGTTTGACCATGTAAGCCGCCACCACCACACTTGTCGGCGTAAGGCGGAGTTGAAGAACACCGAGGTGATATCATTGGAATTGAATTGTAGTCACGGGAATTCCATGGCATATAAAGAACACCCAATTCCGTTGGCATGAAACTTCCAATTTGTGGTGGCTCGTAATACAAAGAACCATACGTCGGAATCACGGATTGAATCGGAGTCGCATTTAACGTCTCCTGATTGATTCCATCCCGGACTGGCATCGGAATCGGAATCGTACTGCAACTCTCGAACTTTGGAACAAGATTCCGACTAAGGTGACTTAGATCAATCTTTGAAGGGTGTGACCTGATTCCAACGGCTTCGGAATCAGTGGATCCGGATTGGAGAAAAGTTGATGAGGCGTCTATGTCTTGTGAAGGGGTTGAGCATTCTATGTTATTATCATCATCCATGGAATCTGGTTCTACCTTGCGTTGTTCTGCGGGTCCCGGTGATGACCTGGCGGTTGTAACCGAACAAGTTATCAGTTTTCCGGTTGAACTTGTTTTGCTCATGTCTCCATCGTTCTTGGAAACAGTTGGAAGGTTTCCAGTGGCTAAATAAAAATCTAACTTTTTCTTTAAAGAACTATTCCAATGATTCTTTATTGCATTATCAGTCCTACAAGGGAACAAGAACTTTGTAAAGGAATGTGCTTTGGTAAAACTATAAGGTGTAAAGTGTAAATTTTATAAGGAATCACCTCCCAGGCAATGCCTTTGCTATTTCAGCCCATTTGTTCCCATGCACACGATGTGCATTCATGAGGGCTAATTCCTCTTGAAGGGTCCAAGCATCCTTTTTTATATCTGGATTCAAATGATTATGCCACCTGAAAGATTACAAATTTAAACAATTTTTGTAAAGAAAGTCAGGAAAAATACATTCAAGAATGTAATTCTTTCATTATACCTTTCGCGACACTGTTTCCCAATACGACCTGGGAGAGACTTTGCAATCAGAGACCATTTTGTGGGCCCATATCTTTTTACAAGTTCAACAATTTTTTCATCCTCCTGCAGCCAGAAAACAGAGGCCAAGATACTTTTTTAATCAATTGTTTCAAAGAATATATGCATAAAAAAGTATAAATCAAATTAGGTGCAAACCTCTTGAGTCCATGGACCTTTAATAAGTTCTGGATTAAGAACCTTTTGCCACCGATGCAAACACTGGACTTCTGATCTATCAGGAAAATATTCAGCTGCAAAACAGCAACATTCTTAAGTGAACCCCCAAAATTATCAACATTAGGGTATATTAAGAATCCTTTTATGTTATAAAGAGCTCTAATAAATCTATGTAACATTCTAAGCATAAATTAACATTAGACGCTACTGGAAACATAAAATAAAGAGTCTCACACCTATTTTCTTCCAGCATTTGCCCTTGAAAACACCAACAGCTTTTTTTAGAGTCTCATCCTGTAAAAAACCACAGAAACTTCATAAAACATAATTTTTTTACAAAATTTTGCATGTTAAACGCCACCATATTGCACAAAGATCAAACAAACTACATACCTCCTCTGGGGTCCATCCCCCTTTTGCTCTTCTGATAGGTCCACTTGTCCTTCTATAATTCCAAATCATATTCTTAGTGCAAGAAACCAAACGGTAGTACCAATTCAAAGATGAAATTAAAACAGACAAAGAATAAATAAACATAGGCTAATTGACTATATATCTCACATAGTGATAAAAGTTCTTTCAATGTTTTTGCATCCTTCTGTAATAATATTACCATACTAGACACGAATGGTAAGTTGTAAGTCATATATCATATCATTTTCATATATATCTTCAGAAGGAGTTCAATTTCAGATATGATAAATCTGATATTCAATGGGTACACTATAATGCAAGTGCATAAACCATGCATCAACATTAAAGTAAATCAACAGAAGCATACCGATGAGGTGGAGATGTAGCAGTTGGACTAGAAGTTCGTGGGGATTTTGGCAAGACAATGCCGCTACTACCTTCAGAGATGGATGAGCTAGAAGCAGCTGCCGATTGCTTGTTCTCAAGGCATCGTTCCTCCAACTCCACCTTCCCCATATATATATATATAT